TTTATGAATGAAACACCCGTCTCGTGCTGAAAGGAAGGGGAGGAGGGGGGTGGGGGGGAACCCCCCAAATCAAGCCCACCGCCCCCCCAAATCAAGCCCACCCCAACCGGGAGGCACCGGGAAGGCGAGGATGGCGGAGATGTGGGCGCTGCGTGGGGTTGGGAGAGGGAGTCCGTTCTGGGCAGGGCCAGGGCGATGTGGCTAGTGAGAAATGTTGGGGGGCAACGAGCTGGCATGATGCGGACCGGGACCAGGCTCCCCCAAGGGCTTTCCCGACACCCCTAAAGAAAGGTGTTGGGGTGCAGGGGAGTCAATGAATTCGGATCCCCCAGTTGGGCGTCGCGGGCAGGCCAGATTCCAGAGTGCGGGGACATGGCGCGTTTCTTCATTAAAAATTAAAGCCACTGTGGCCAACTGAAGTTGTGAAAACAGAAGTGCGTGTCCTGTGTATGAGGCACAATGGGCAGGCGGAGGGACGCGGGCAGGGGACAGCTTCCTCGCGGAGAAACCGTCCAGATTCGCCTCCACGGGCTGCGGCGGGCAAAGGGGAACTGAGATCCCCGGCCCGCCGACATCCACCCGACAGCCGAAGACAAAATGGAGACAAATGGCCAAGCAAACCGGTAAACGAGGGAAGATGGGCAGATATTTCATGCAAAGAGATTACGTAAACACACCGCTGTGCAACAACGTGCCCCGTGATCTTTGGCACTGCTTTTCCCGCAGGTCATGCAGGAGAGATGCTGTATGACTCCGTGGCGTGTCCTCCACAGCATGTCTTCCACGGCATGTCCTCCATGGCCATGAGACCCTTCCGCAGCCCTGATGCTGGCGATGCTGCCGCGAGTGCCGTCCCACAGGTAGGTATTCCTGCACCCAGGCGATGCTAAAGCGCCAAGGCCGAGGTCAATCCCAGCACTCAGGTTTGGAGGGGCGGGAGGGCCGGAGGCAGCGTGACCCCCCACTTGATGGCCTTCCCGTTTCTCCCCGCTCCGCTGTGGTGCAGGACAAGTCGTTTCTCCCATGCGGTGCATCACCGGCGTCACCTCTGGCGTTTCCCAGCTGGCCCCCAGCTCCCCTATCAGCCCCTCGAAATTAAAAGAGCCTTTTTTTTTTTTTTTTTTTTTTATTAACAAAAAAACAA